TTAGGTACAATAGCCCACAGAGCTAGAGAGCGTCAAGGTGCGGGCCAGGCGATCCAAGCTATGGTGGCGCAGTGAAGTCTCAGTGCATATGACGTCTCCCAACCAGTGCAATACGAGCAGTAGTGGAGATGAAGCATCACGCCACCGCACGCAGTGATTTAGTTTTGGCGCTTACCCCGCGAATTGTATCCTCCGGCCCGAAAAGCACAGTACGCTGCCAGAAAATCAAAAACCTGTTCAGGACATAACCTCCTTATCCCTGAGCCAGAGTAGGCGTGGCATTTGAACATGGCACGGAACTGGTTACTCGTGGAATATTCCAGTCTGGGACAACTGTCATCTTGTTCTGTGTTGGACAGAGACACGACAACAATTGTGTCAAGATGAAATATCTCACCAGAAGCATAGACACCTTCAGGTTAAGTTGAAACATGCGGCCACGCCTACCCGATCTCAGGGATTTCGAGTATAAATGGATTTGGGATGCGGCTGAAACATTAGAACGTTCCATAATTTCAATCTTTCAAAGCGCGTATAACCTCGCAAAGTCGAGCAAATCAACTTATTATATCAAAAATTACTAGCAGCTAGTTAGGGACCACAAGCAGCCCTGATGAATGTTCCACCTCGTGGGTCTAGACAAGTTAAAGGACACAAAAATGGTGAGTTGTGCGGCATGACATAGTAACATAGTGGGGACAAAAAGGAACTCCACCCCCCCCCCTTCCTTGAAATGTCTTACCCAGAGCCCACACGCACAAGTGCCGAACCACGCTTGTGCGTGCAAAGGCTAAGAGAGGACGTGGTTGGACTAGTTCTTACAAGTTGGTGTCAGCTCTTCCCACTTATCACCTCATTCTCACAATTGTAAATGGAAACAGTTAATAGCGGAACAACAGCACTAGCAGGAAGCCTTAGAAAGGAAAGTGCCGTGGGTGTTGCCGCGGCCAGTGGGCGGGGCGGTGCCCTCGTTGTGGGCGAGTCGAGATCCTCACGTTTTTCAAACTGCAAAAGTTGTACATCTTCTGTGCTTAAAGACTTCCATGTGGGGCTACCTAAAGTCTCCTAAACAAAGCACTACACAGCGGAGCGACGCAGGCGACAAGTTCAAGCGAGCTTCAGTTGTGAAAATCATGTCAAGAATCGCAAAATTACGTAGTAGCACGGTAGTAATAATAAATTGCTCTTTTAACTCAGTCTGTCAAGATGTGTCACAAGTTACGTCACCAAAACTCTCGTTTGTGTTCCTAGAGACGCGAATTCACTTACCTAGCTACCTCATAGCGCTTAAGAAATGCCTATATACAAATGTTCATGAATTTACAATATACCAACCGATTGGTCTCGAAGAAACAGAACGCTTGTTTGACCTGTACGAGATCCGATCCTTTAGATCTTGCGGATGCGATGTGGTGATTCTAACTGCTGTGCTGCTTCCATCTTAATAGAATATTTGCATTATTTACTATTTTGGAACCTGAGAAAACAACAAAAAAAAATCGCCATTTCAGACTCAAGAATGGGATGAAAATTGCTTAGCAGCTGTGGATGGTGGCGATGAAAATCGGACGCATTTAAGAGCAAAACTAGGATCGCTAGCCGACCCTTCCAAACCAGTGGTAATGCATTCTACATTGAATATTTTAGAATAATATAACTCGAAAACAACAAAAAAAATGATTAGTTGCCGAAAGGAAAGTCCTGTCAGTGTTTTTAGATAGCCTACAGTTTTTGATCTTCGAAGCTCGAACATGACGTAACATGCTAAGGTTGTAGAACATTCTCGAAGCTTTTCCACAAGAGGTATATCAAGGCTCCTGCTCTTCCCTGTGTTTATTTATGATGTCAGTTTCACTGGAGCAGCTTCGAGTGATCATCTTCTATGAGTGGCGCCCGCATGCGAGGCGAACGGCAGCGGCCCGTAACATCAACTGTGCATTGGGGGAGGACACCACCACCGTCAGGACTGTCCACCGTTGGTTCGCTCGCTTCGCGAAAGGAGAGACGATCTTCGAAGACAAACCTCGTCTGGGACGCCCTCGCGGCGTAGAAGATTCCGCCGTTCTCGAACCTTGTCAGAGGATCCAGAGGCTACCACGCGCAGTATTGCGACAAGGCTAGGGATGTAGCCATACAACAGCTCTAAACCGCCTTCAGGCCCTTGGCTACAGAAAAGTCCTCACGCGATGGATACCTCATGCTCTAACAGATGGCACGCGGTATGCCAGGGTGAGCATCTGTCGATCCCTCCTTCTACACCGTAACCGGAAGGAGTTTCTGGAAGATATGGTGACTGGAGATGAAAGCTGGGTCCTCTATGATTCCAACCTACGTCGTGCCATGTGGCTCCCTCGAGGAGAAGACCCGCCTACGCAACCCAGATCGAACCTGCACTCCAAGAAGGTCCTCCTCTGCTGCTTCTGGGATTCGAAGGGCATGCTGCACCACGAGCTGCTTCCGCAAGGGCATACGGTTACCGCTACCGTTTACGCCGCCCAACTCCAGAAACTCGCGCAAGCTCTTCGAGAAAAGCGGCCGAGACGAGCTTCGGTGCACCTCCTCCATGATAACGCCAGACCACATGTGGCTAAAGAGACCCACCGCCAAATTGAGGAGCTAGGCTGGGAGACGTTCCCCATCCACCATATTCTCCAGACCTAGCCCCCTCCGACTACTACTTGTTCCGCTCCCTCAAGGCTTTCCTAGGTAAGAAAACCTTCAGCGAATTTGATGGCATCAATCGAGAAGTTGCCTACTTCTTCGACTCGCAGCCTCCTCAGTTCTGGGAGAAGGGGATAGCTGAGTTGCCCATTAGGTGGAGCACTGTAGTGGCTAACAATGGCGATTATATTATTGATTAGTTTTTATTTCATGTTGAGTTAGAAAATAAAAAAGAAAAAAATCACAACAGTGACAGGACTTTCTTTCAGATCGGTGCTTTTACTAAACATTTTTACTCATACCCTTTGGGGTGTAATTGGCTGACCACTTGTGGCACGCAAATACGGTGCACTTCGCCGAGACAGTTTTTTTCAATATACTTTTTTATTAAATAAGATTTTCATGAGTTACAGATGCGATGGCGTGGCCATAGCACAGGGTGTCGTGTGTCTGAATAAGCGTGTATCCAAAGGGAGAGGGAGTGACGAATCGCTCGCGAAATGCGAAATCGTGCGATTGAGCAACCATAGAAACATACTTTGCACAGAGTAGCATCTAGGTGTTCGATGTTTTCTACAAGCTTTCGTCTCCGATACTGTACATCTAAAGACCCGTCAATCTAATGTACTGTCCTCGTTCGCAGAGTCCTTGCCCAAGAATCTCGGGGAGGGGGGGTAGTGAGGGGGCTGCGTATGTGATTTGAACGAGGGCTGGCCACAAAAAATAGAACGTGATTTATAGCGACGTTATCCAGACAGTTGGGATCTGGGAGTCTCTAGTTACCAACCCCAAGTTACTCAACACTGGAAATCCCATAGTTGCTCCAGGCTAAAGCGAATACCACAGGTCTACTCGAGTTACACAGCAGTACAAGAAATTTGTGCTTCTGAGGAGCTTCTGTGGAATATTTTACTTTGGGTCTTTCATGTAACTTTTGCCTCCTGGGCCTTCAACTTTAATGGTGCATCCCATGGCAAAATGCCTTTCTCTTTTTGCCCGACTCTCTATATCGTTCATATCGGAGCGCAAAAAGGCGGATGTAGCGTGTGGCCTGTGCTACTGGCGGAGGCTGCGTATTACAGTCCGACTTCTCTTCTCTCATACATACGTCTCTGCTGTCTTTCATGTGAACCTTTGTTACTCTCGTAGTCACGCCTCTTGTTGCCTTCAGGTAGAGTGTATGCATGCGTAGGAGTAGGCGTAAGTGTCTGTAAGCATATACGTGAGTGTGCGTTTCGGTTGTGTATGCGTTTCGGTAAGCATCTGTCACGTCTTTGTGGTGTGGAGCATCTTGCGCAACTGGTTTACTCGAGCGCGGCAAAACTGAGTAAAAAAAACCGAAAGAAAAGAAGCTAGAAATGGAAGCATCGTCCTACTTTAATAGGTTTTTCGTCGCTCATTCTTTCCGCGTAGCGTAGCGCGGGCCGAGGATTTTACGAGGCTGGGGATGTCTACCGCCTGAATTTCCACGAGTAGCCCACTTGTCAAATAGTCCATCTTTCACAGGGTCCAGAAAAAGTTGAGAGGGTAGACATTCGAAACTGTTAATACCACAGAAGAAATTATGGAAAAGCTATATTTAGCGTGTGCTGAGCTATAGTAATCATGAGAACACTGCCTACTTGTTACAGAGAAACTATTCAGGACCGGTGTCGAATATAGGGATCGAGAAGAACGGCTTCAGCAGCAACTGCACGGTGCTTCCCTTTTTAGGAGATAATCCCGGTAAGATGTGGTATTATTTTGGATGAAACTAGCGATTATCCAGCTCAGATGCTTAAGCTAAACTGGACAGCTATGGCTATGAGGGGACCAAACATGATCTAAAGGAGCTTCACAGTGAATCGGACTGAACGGCTTGCCAGCAACATTCTTAAAGTCACATTCCATGGTAACCGGATGGGCGGAGATTCACAACCATTGTGCCTTCCTTATGGGCGCACCCCTACTCTTGTCATTTATTGGAAGGAAGCGCCACCGAGCAAGGTGAAATACCCACACCAGAGGTCGGACAATGACGAAAGACAACCCTTACCGAGGTGGGACCCTACTCCTTACGCGCAGCATTTCAGTAAAAAGCGGCGCCCTCAGTCACTATGCACCTCCTTTTCTTATTCAGAATTTTGCCCATAGAAAACTGTTTCTTACTGAAAGGTCATATTGCAGCTTCATTAGCCGGCTTGAACCTTTCTGAAGATGATGTGGGTATTTCACTTGGAACCAGTGATACCGTCTTCTTCACCACGAACGAGTATAAGCCATGTGTGGATGCACATTTCTTCAGTCATTTCTTAGGAAAGAAGGATGAATTCATGGCGCTTGTTTGGTAAGTGAACCTTTTAGATCTTTTTTTTTAATTTGAGTTGCAGAAAAAACTTCAAAAACTTTGAAATACACTAGATAAGTTTTTTCTTTGTCTATTTCGGTCTATCGCCTCTCTTCAGCTTTAAAAACGGCTCGCATGACCGAGAACAGATGTGCGTAAACGAACTTGGTTAGTGAATTGACGACTTCGGAACGTCATCGCACAAGAATCACTCCACCTGGGAACGACTGGCAATATAGGTAAACAACTACTGCATAACCCGGCAATACGATTGAGATATAAGATACGTAAATTAGATGAGCTGATTGGCTGACTTCTGCACTACGTCGATATTGCAAAGAGGTACGACGGGGCAAACCTTGTGTAGGAATCACCATCTGAACAGCTTATTACTCCTCTCAGCAAACTTTTTTACTCCACCACTGTCTGTGCCCCTTAAATCACTTCACCTTTGATATATATATTAGCCATTCGATAACTGAGTTAAGTGAATTTCAATAATTATTCTAATCGTTACCTTCGGAAGAGTTCAGTTAATGGTAGGTAGGTTTAGGTCTATACTTCGATGAGGACGAAATCGCTCCCAGAGTAAGGAAAGGCGACTTCAGGTACCAGAAGGATGACGATAGCTATCACCTAGTCGAGGAATTTGCACCGGAGGTAATAGATCGTCATTACGAATGAGATAACAATAAGAAAAACGAGCAACCAGCAGAAATGGTTACTTATGTGGATCGCGCCACGCATATGACTTGGGATCGAGTCGCAGAGCATTTGAGATGCCTATCCCATGTTGAGAATAAGTTAATTATGCTCAAAATATTCTACCTACACAGTGACTTGTGTGGAGCCATCAAGGGCTTTCACTCATTAATTTACAGATAATTCCAATGTTAGGCAGAGTCTATAGCCATTTTCGCCTCAGCAGAATCCTGCCGGGGTGCTCACGTGTTTCTAGGAAGGAGGGGGGAGGGGAGGAGGGGGAACAAGATTTCAGTGCGATTTTCCTAATCAAAGGTTTTAATTTAATAAAGTCTATGCTCCCTCTGTCCTCGGCGACTCCGATCGTCTACGCCCTAAGCCTGAGCTTTGGTTGGGGGAAGTGGACACAGACAGCCAACGGCCGAGAGTTCCATCTCAAAACCTGTTTAGCGCTCGGCTCGTAGTGTAGTCTGAGGCGTCCCGACACTAGCCCTCGTACTCTCAATTACCTCCCCACCGTGGTGGTAAGCTGACGACGAGCGGTATGGCTAGCGGCTAAGTTATGCACTAGCGCCGACGCGGGTTGAATGTGCACGTGCATAGTCACTCAAAACATAGTCGCTGGTGTTAAATAAGTCGCTGGTGTTAAATATGCGTGGCGTCGCTTGGAATCCTTAATCTCATGCTCTCAAACGCCCACAAATAACCACACCTCCAAGAAGTCATCCACTTCAGACTGAAGCACGAGCGTTACTCGAAGGTCAATCGCTATTGAAGTTAATGTACGCTAAAACTATGGGATGTACTACGGGAAAAGGTGAAGGGCTCAGAATTTGTTTGGTTACGGCTGCCATTTTTCATGCATGTGAAGTTCTAGCCCCATCACATCAGCAATCTATTTCAGGCCGCCTTTTCCTCACAGGTGGTGCGTCAGCTAATCCCGATTTGCAGAGGATTCTCTCTGATGTCTTCGCCATGGACACCTACATATTGAATGTTCCAGATTCTGCGGCTTTAGGTGGAGCTATGCTCGCCAGATATGGTAATTTATTCAACTCAATTTAAATAGTGGTTATATGAAGGCCTCTTTCAGGTGCTCTAATTGAAAAGGAGGGGTTACCCTCGTCAAAATGCCCTTCACCCGCATCCAAAGGAAGAAAAATTTTGTCATTTTTATAACATTTAGCCATCATTCAGCAGTCAGATTCCCATAAGTCAGCCCCTCTTTCCCTTTCACGTGACTTCCCGTCTCTTTTCCTTGAAGGCGGTTGGCACGAGATTTGCAATTCGCCCTACAATTTTAGCAGGGCCTTATATAGTGGGGGGAAAAAAGCGAAAAAAGGAGCGAAGAGTCAAAAAGCTAGCGCAGAAGGAGAAAACTTCGTTCCTCAAGGGACTCGAAAGAAGCAATTTTGGGACGAGTTGTCACGCAGCTCTTCCCAACATACCGGCAACGGTAGGTACGGCCGTTAGGTATGTACTCATGTATCCCATGTGAGCACGAGGCCGCTTCATCTACAATTCCTCGCTTCTATTTTTGCTAGCAAAATGACAGCCAATACAAGTCAGTACGCGTCGTCCATTTATGGGCGGGCGGGCATAGTGGCTTTGGCCGTCGACGTGCCTTGTAGCTTGATAGGGCCATGTAAAGGTAGCTTCCGTGGAAAAGGCGCTACGCACTTCCTGCTCAGAGTCGCGGAATTCCATCCTGCCAAGCGTACTACTTCTACTCGTGTTAGGGAATTATCGTGCCAACTGCTTTGAACACTTTGCTTAGCTCAGCTTAACCTGTGCCCGCGGGACACGTCATGACGATTAGTCAATATATATTCTTCGTACGACCCCTCTCCCCCCCCCCCTCGACCCCACGACGCGCTGCGTATTTAATCGGTGTGTGGCGATTCTATCGTCGGTGATAAGTAGGTCGCCGCGCTGGTGGGCGCCGCATACGAGTCCTGCTGCGTCGCGCTCGTTGAAATTGTTAAAATGATCATTCAAGCCATACGTACTCGTTAATTCCTGATATGCTTTGTTCCCATTTCCTATGATGATCAATGATTGTTTTTTCCGCATTCAAAAGTAAAGGGTGTAAGACTGGTCCCACGTTATTTGTTCAAAATTACTGATCCAATTTTGGGCTTTTCGGAACTTGTGAATACGCGGTCTTCGAGACTCATTTGTATGTCGGTAATGCAACTCCGGAATTGTCGCACCGCGCCGCCGCGCGAGACGCCGCGACGCGATGTGCGCGACGTGACCTGACTTGCCGACGATAGAATCGCCCGGGTCCCTATTTAATCCTCTTTTGTTTCCACATATATAGGGCTTGTCCATTCCCCTTGTTGACCACACCAGACTTCTTATTTTCCCTTATTCGCTCAACCCTTTACCACTATGGGGCCTTTGGAGCCCAACCTACAATAGTTAGATCAGTTTCTCTGTAAGAGCCCTCTTACTAGCCTATTAGGGATCAGCAAAATTCTCCTATTCCACTATGGATACGTTTCTCCTTCTACTTTACATTCCACACTTTTTTTAGGGATCATAGCCTCAGTGTACAGCTGTGTCAAGAACATCGCCGTGACATACATTCCCTACCACCCGTGTGGATTATTTGAATTAGTTAAATTCTACAAGCAGTCTACACCATGATTATGCACCTGTCACTCCATTTCAGCCTACTACTCCCCGAACTCATCATATAGCGACTACTACAAGAGTACGTGCGTTGCAAAAGTTGCCGAACCGAATTTGGAGAATTCCCAAGTTTACGAGCAGATGCTGGAGGATTTCTCTTCACTATGCCGATCCATTCCAGTCATGGACTAGTGTACAAACCAGTATGATAGGAACAGACAAATCTCGGGCATTGCATACCGGTAGAACTAAGGAATTGGTAGCAAGTAGGAACTTTTCTTCAGATCCTGTAGGATGAAATACTGTTTTTCCTCGTTGTTGAAACTGTTAGGTTGGCTAATACTTTTTGATAAAATTGAATTTTCGACTTAATATCGTGTTTTGCCAATGATTCTACTCTCTCTTGTTCCGTCCTGTCTCGTCATTGGAATGTGCCGAAAGGTTCCCTTCCCCGATCTCTAACTTCGTGTGCTTCCCCTTGTGTTGACCAGCAAGCTATTGTGGCAACCACCAACTACAATCCATATTAAGGAGCTTGAAAAGGGCGTCCCCACAGACTACGTTGTAAGCTCAGTGCAACATATCACAGATGTGCACCCACCGCCGTGCTCACAGCAAGATACGTGGACACTTCCTTTCCAGAGCCGTGCTGTAGACCGCACTTATTTAGACGCTATCCAGATTAGGGGGGGGAGGCTGTCAGTCAAAACTCATACCATTCCGCAAGTTTATAAGATTGAACACGTCTCACAAAGAAGAGAAAATTAAAGAAGAGCGAATAGGTTATAAGAGCATTGCAAGATGGGGGTGGTATTCCAGCCAGGGCACGTTAGGGAAACTTGTTGCAGAATGAGACCTCCTTCGAAATTTCCCTATCTGGTACCTCCCCCCCCCTCCCGATCCCTTCCTCATTCCTATCCTATCTACAAACTTCCTTGACAGTCCGAACTTCCTACCGCTTTTTCGGGGATTTTTTTTCTCGAAAACACCTCTAGTCCGTTGAGGACCCTTGTTCTATAAATATGCATTG